AAGCTGCGGTAAAATCGATTAAATCACATCTTGTTCGTACGGTCGGTACTACAGTTCTCGTTTGAAGAATTAGTAACGGTTTTGACACAGATCGAAGCTATTTTAAATTCGCGCCCTCTTTGCCCTTTAAGTTCAGATCCTAATGATTTAGACGCGTTAACGCCGGGACATTTTTTAATCGGAGAGCCACTCAATGCCTTTTTGGGATCGGACGTAACGGAACTTAATATAAAACGCTTGTCGCGGTGGCTATTACTACAGCGCTTCTTGCAAAGTTTCTGGAAACGCTGGCACAGCGAATATTTGTGCACATTGCAGCAGAGAGGAAAATGGACCAAATCCATCGGTAACGTCAGTGTCGGTACTTTAGTACTCGTAAGTGATCGTAATTTGTCTCCACTACAATGGAAATTGGGCGGATATCAGAGGTTCATCCTTCAAAAGATGGCATCGTTCGGACAGCTACGGTCAAAACTAAACAGGACTTTTTCAAAAGACCCGTTCACAGGCTTGCGCCTTTATCTCTTTCAGATTGAATTTTCTTATTTTTAATTTTTGCTTTTGTTCTTAATTTTTTAAATTTTTTTTTACGTTTTTACATTTAGTCTTTTAAGCTCGGTTAAAATTACATTTTAACAGTGGGCGGTGTTCGTAAATGTGTAAACATCCTTAAAACATAACTTTTTCAATAATCTGCGCTCGGACAATATGTAGGTAGTTTTATAATAAGTCGCTGGATCGCAATATAATCTCACCTGCATTTTTTCTTATATTGGTTCGGGAGGCCGCCCGCCAGAACTCTCTCGACTTCGGGCTTGACAGAGTGATATTTTATGTGCATTCCCTCTCATTCATCCATCATTTTTATTATTGACTGCTTGGTGTCGTGTTGGTGTCTACTGGTGACTGATTGTGACGGTGGACCTTTGGAGCTCCAAAAAGTAGGCAACGAATAGCGGTGACGTCATCCACCATATCATACCAGAGGAGCCGAATACAAGGAGATTAAAGGTGGGTGGGTTTTGTATGGTCATCCGAGATCAAAAATATTGCTGTTTACGTTTTGTCCGACCAGCTAAAATTACAGACCACTTTTCGTTTATTCTTATTACAAATTAAAATTTCGTTAGTCAGAGGACTAAACAATAAGTGAGAACCTAGTCATATCAAGGTATATCGTAATGTACTAGCAAGCTGTTTAAGCTTTTAGGTGGAAAATTAGGTACTGTGGTGTTATTAGTTGAGGTTATGCCCCCGTAGCATGGCTACTCATGATAGTCGCGACGCGCGCGATAAAATTGAAATAAGCGCGCGCTATTGGCAATCTAAATTAGATCTGACTGAGATAGCCAATAGCGCGCGCTTATTTCAATTTTATCGCGCGAGTCGCGACTATCATGCGTAGCCATGTTACGGAGGCTGGTTAATTTTATTTTTGTTTTACTATTAAAAAGCTTCCATCGCTCCCGAAACTAAGACTTCCTTGCTACAAATTTATATAATGTGCGCACCAATGTATCACCCATAAGCGGTTGGTAATTTAATAAACTTACAATACTGAAACATCAAAATGCCTGCTAAAAATGAATAGCAATAAGTGGGTAGAACAAATTATTGTTCCTTTTTCTCACAGGACATTTTAACAACGGACTCGGAACTTCAGTTGGTCACTAGTAATTATTGCTCATTTGTTGGTCCTTACTTTGATAATCAAAACATTTCTATTCATAAATTGTAATTGAAACAATTTAACTTAAAAGTATGCTACCTTATCGCAGCACACGTTATTTACAGCAACCACAGACTCATACGAGAATAGCAACGACTAAACGCATTAACTGTCGTTTAATAGTCTCCGACTAGTGGTGAGCGACATGATTCAGTTACTGAACCGTATCAATATTAACACTCAACTTGGAACAAAGCGCTACGAAATTGTATAAATTTCCTTTTATTGTTATTTTGTGATTAAAATATCAACTAACGTTACTAGGAACGGATCTAATTTATTGTTTATTTTAATATTGGCACATATTTTATACCAAAAAACCTAAAAACCTGTTTTAGTGTTAAGAGTAATTATTATGTTAATCTTGATTAGCATTTTCTATTGTCATGTTGAAAATAATGAAAACACTTCTTCTGGGTAAATATATTTTTTTTGTGAAAACTACAACATTTACTCTATGCCAACACTATAATTTGTATATAAGCACTGAGTAAGTTGCAAATAGTCAAACATGTGTCAGCGTCTACTGTCAAGTCGTAGTGTCTATGAAAGCAAAACAAGTTGCGAGGTTATCATGTACGGTTCAGATTATTTTTTGCAAATAGCTCGTAATTATATAGTATTAGATCACGATTTACCAAGGTTACAGGAACTGATGGAATTCGTCATTACGAAACGCGAATATCCTCAATTCGGTTTTGCTTTGTTATAGTGCCAATTCCATTGAATATCTATAATCAAACATTGTGTTATTTATTTTAGGCCTAATTTTCCGAAGGAAGAGACCACTGAGATGAGTCTTTTGAGTAAAGTGATTAGAAATGACGACATGCAAAATATTACTAAAGAATTTGCCAGACTCAAAGGTAAGCATTTACAATATTCGTCAACATATTTTGTATTAATTTATTTGTGTCATCCATACGTTCAATTCACTTTTTAAGTTCAACTTTCACTGTAATAAAAGGCTCACTTTGGTTTCTCACTTAGTTGTTCCTTTATAAGTATACAGGGTCTTCAAGTCATTCATTTAGAATAACATTTAAGAAAAATCTTATGACTTTTAGAGAAATTAAAGTACTCGTAACAAAAATTTGCGCATTGTTTATAAAATATAATGAAGTGTTCCATTATTCAACCAGCTGATTAAAGCAAATTCATTAACATAAACATGTTATACCTACTGTTTATAGCGTTTGTTACTGTTGATCGTACATACAACTAATCTATGCTAAACAATTAGGTTCTTACAATTCATTTTATCTAGCTGTGACTTCCTGTCACTTCCATTACCATGGAAATCAGCTATTAACAATAGGTCACGAAATTTAAAGCTATATTTTAATGTAAAATACAATACTTTTTTCAGACAGATGCTACTTGGAAAATACTGGAGCAACATTGTATCCGAAATCGTTAATCAAAATAGTTAATGAGGATTTGATGCAAAATATTTACATGAATCCTCATACCGATAAATACACGAAAGACTGCATAGAACAAATAAGATGCTTAATTCTTAGACACTTTAATACGGATCCCACAACATACTCCGTAGTGTTCACCTCTGGGACCACACAGTCTTTGAAATTAGTAGCAGAATCTTTTCAATTTACTAGTGAACAAAATGAATCACTACAGGGTTCCTTTGTTTATTTGAGAGATAACCACACATCAGTTCTTGGTTTAAGAGAGATTGCTGCTGATAAAAATGCAGATGTTGTACATGTCTCACATCAAGAATTTTTGAACTCGTTATGTGGCGATGCTGTTACATCAACAAAATTAAAAGCGAAACACAAAAATAAAGGCAACGCTCTTTTTGTTTATCCTGCTCAAAGTAATTTTAATGGTTTCAAATATCCCCTTGAGGCAATTGACAAAATAAAAAATGGTTACTTAAACCTGTACATGAAGAAACATATAGGTAAAGGCAGTAATAATTGGTACGTTTTATTAGACGCAGCGTCATATGTGGCCACAAATAAATTAGACTTGGGGAAGAGGCAACCTGATTTTGTTTGCTTTTCATTTTATAAAATATTTGGGTATCCGACTGGTCTGGGGGCGATTTTGATCAAAAATAGTAGCGCTGACGTTTTGAACCAAAAGAGATATTTTGGCGGCGGAACAGTCGATGTCGTTCTAACCAGTGAAGACTTTCACGTGAAAAGGGAAACTCTTCATGAGAGGTAGGTACTGAAGTATCTGGTATCAAAGTAAATACGATGGCGTAATAATTATTTTGAAAAAGTTTCGTTATTTGCTTTGATATTTCTAAATATGGCAATAAATGAAAAACATGCTAAATTATTTGACCCACAGATTCGAAGACGGCACTGTGCCATTTTTATCAATTATAGCGCTAAAGCATTGCTTTGATGTGCTGCATACAATGATACCAAAGGTTATAAATAATGATGTGATGGATACAATATCTTATCACACGTTCTTTTTGGCCCAAGATTTGTACTACCAGCTTAACAAACTTGAACATGGAAATGGAGTTAAAGCAGCCGTTGTATATGCTGATACCGATTTTATGGATATAGATATGCAAGGAGCCATTGTAACTTTTAACCTTATGAGAGATGACAAGAGCTTTGTTGGATATGCAGAAGTATATTTATAATTTTTCTTTAATTTTGACCTAGTTAGCTAATTTAATTGATAGCTTAATGTGTACTGGATTACGGTGAAACAAGCATAGATTGTACGACAACAGGGGTAATTGAATACGCGCATTATAAATCCAAATTCATAACATGTATCCAAAATACCCTGCTTTACACAATAACTTACTTAATGACTATATTATTATTTAATTTCAGTTTCAAAATCTAGCAGATCTTTTTAGCATTAACGTCAGAACAGGATGCTTTTGTAATTCGGGTTCCTGTCAGAGACATCTAAAGGCAACCAACAAAGAAATGAAAGAGATGTACAAAGCGGGACATAAATGCGGCGACGATTTTGATTTAATTAACGGTAGACCAACTGGCGCCATAAGAGCCTCGTTTGGCTATTACAATACGTATGATGACGTGGACAAACTAATGCAAATGATTTGCAGATGCTTTGTTGCTAGCAAATTAAATAAACCTAATCGTACTATGTATAATCAATACGAAAATAGAAAGTTAAGCAACATTTCGGCTGCAATCCCACTAACTCCAACCAGTAGTTCATTTGATATATTTAATAACCAAAAATATCTAAGAATATTCAATTCAAATCAAGGACAGAAGCCTCCACAAATAACCCCAACAAGTAATGAGATAGTTTTAACAGAAATTACTATTTTTCCCATTAAGTCGTGTGGAGCTTTTAAAATAAGAACAGCGTGGAAAATTGGACCAAAAGGATTTGATTTTGATAGAGAATGGATGATTGTTAAGGACAATGGCGTTTGCTTGACCCAAAAACAAAATCCACGCATGTGTATGATTTGTCCAAAAATAGACCTGAAGGAGAAAATGCTAATTTTAAGTTTTAAAGGTATGCTTACTTAATGTATTTAATCATTAAGAGAATATCAGCAACTGTTATTTATTGTATTGATTAATTTCAGGCAAGTCATCTATTGCTGTTCCTCTTGAAACAAAAATTGACAGTCCTCAAAAACCAGCCGCACTTTGCCATACCAAAGTATGTAGTGATATTGTAAACGGTATTGATTGTGGTGACGAAGTGGCAAACTGGATATCGGAAGCTCTAGAAGTATCATATTTGAGACTAATCAGACAGTCCGAAAGTGACAAAAGAATGCAAAAGAAAAAAAAAGAAGAAGAGAAGAAATTGCTATCTTTGAGCAATCAAGCTCAATTTCTATTGATAAACAGAACAACAGTGAAATGGTTGAGAGATCAAATCAAGGATCCGACATTTACCGATGACTTAGATCAATTAACGAATCGCTTTAGAGGCAATTTGATGATAGATACAGAGCACCCATTAGTAGAAAGAGAATGGGAAAGTTTGAATATAGGAAAACATGAATTTAAGGTTAGAAACATTTTAAAGCTAAGAAATCTCATCCGGTTTTAATTTCACTTTCTCAAGTATTTGTTTTTTTTTTCAGGTTGAAGGACTTTGTCCTCGCTGTCATATGGTCTGCATTGACCAACAAACTGGAGAAAAGACCGTTGAACCCTTAAGAACAATTTCTGAACAATTTGGAGGTAAAATCAGGTTCGGGATTTACATGACGTATGTTGGAACTGTTGATGGTTCCAAAGACGGCTTCCTGAAAAACTATGCATCAATAAAAGCTTTTACTGCCGTCGAAGATATAAGCAGATGAAATTTTACACGATGATGTACTTAAAAAGTAGTAGTGGTAATAGTATCAACACACCATCATTTTTTAAGTCTATTTACGCTAAATTATTTTTATTCTAAGAACGGAGAAAATATTCCTTAAACTTTTAACATCTATTATAATATTGACATAGGGTACACTAAAGAGCACATCAAGCTTGACACTTTGGAGTGTTCTTGTCGAAAACGGCATAGAGTTGAATTCAAATGTATTTATTATGTACAATTTAACGAAACATAACCCAAAATTCAAATTGCTCATGGGGTTATTGTCACTTGTATGTGAACAAAGAATGCTACAATTTGGTGACGTTATTTAGATTTGAGGGAATATTTTTGCCTTATAGCTAATTTAATTGAAAACAACCACGTGATAGATTATAAGAAACTATTGGGGTTGTGCAATGCTTAGTAATGATATAATATGTATGATATGCGCTTGAACCGTAATAATATGGCCAGAGAACTTGGACTATTATGATAAACTGCCTTGCATACCATGGGCCAAACTTAAAATGGTGTCATTGCTCGTTTAAACCTATCTTAATTCAATAATATTTGTTTATCACCACTGAATGATTCGGAATGGGCATTAAACCTATATAAACGTATTATTAAGTAAACTTCTTATTTAGTATTATTTTTCACTTAAATGTAAATGCATATACCGTAGATATTATGTTATTACAGTTATTAGTTATATACTAATGTGTAGGTAGGTAGTCGACGTAACGTGTGTATAACTTAAAACACATACGACAACGCCAGTCCCCACTCCAAAGACACCTTGAGCAAGAGAAGAAATAGATTAAAGATATTGGTAACATCCACAACCGAATTATCCCTAAATGACCAATATTATTTTTGACTTCTAACATCCATTATCAATGTTTTTAACTAATTAATAGTTCAGTCCCTTTATATATGCACCTAAATGTATTCTAGCACTATTTGTTTGTCGTGGTTATCCACTATTTGACGTACGTGGGTAATATTTGTAGAAAGAAATAATCTGTGCGTTAAATACGCATAGAATAACGTTGTGTTGTGTGATATTTCATAATAGGCACGTATTATGTTCTGTATATTTAAAATACATATAAAAAGTATAATAAGTACATTATGTAACAGACCATACCCATAATCTCATCCGGCAAGGTTTGTCAATAATAATTTTCAGTAGTACAACCACTTATACTAACTTTAACTAAACCTTTTTATATTGCAATAAAATCTTTGTGAAATTCGTTGCTTTACACATATTTCATTCACAGGTCATATTTTATTATAAAGTTTAAGGACTGGTTTTACATGTATTCTTTACGTTACTGTACAGCTACGTAAAAAGATTAAAAATAAACATATTTGTAATAGACACAAAATAATATACCTATCTTCTGAAATGGGATTATTCTATACACGTGAATGATCGTTACGCGATACCAAAGATGAAGTCACACAGATGGATTCTAGAAGATTAGGAAATTTCATTGACGACCTCGATAGCCCAACGGCTTGCATCGTAAGCGCTGGATGAGGAGGTCCTGGATTCGATTCTCGAAAGAACCAATTCGGAAAATGAACTATTCTATATTGAATCCAGCCTGAGTATTCTGGATAGTGCCCGGGAGTGAATTCCTTTGCTCTGGTAATCATAGTATAGGGAATTCCTTAGTTTGAGAACAGGTACTATCATTATTATTAGACTAATTGTTATTATTTCTCAATTTCAAATACTGTGCGATGTAATACTTATGCAAGATTTTAAGAAGTTGACTAAGGTATAACATTTAACTTTTTTGTTGTAATCTTTGGTCATGGCTCTCCAGTGACCACATTTTTTGTGCACTACATTTATTAAGTCTTAAAATATTATACTGTTGAGATATTCCGTTCAGTTTTGCCCGCAAAACATTCCTTGCCAAACGGGGCTGAACGGGGATTTGAACCCCATACCAATATAATATAATAATATGAGTTAAGTAATGTTACGTAGCAACTTGACGTATATGGCAATGGTATCGTTACATTTGAGACACACAGGTTATAATTTAGGTGACTTTCTATTTTGGGTGACTTTACAATATTAATTTTGAAAGAAATATCCTTATAGACTTACCAACTTGAAAATGTGCAACTGAAACGATATGTTTGTTATTATGAATAAGATATTTCGATTTTAATTTACTTACCTAGTTAATATCGTTGTGCTGAATTGTACATCAAAGTTCACGCTAATTATTTATTTAACTATTCAACGTCTAACATGCACAATCCAATTAGAATGTTTTCTATTTGGGTATAGATAAAAACGGTAGCGTAATTTAAGTTACAAAATAAATAATATATTATGCTTGTTGTAGACTAAGTTGTTTGTTACAAAAGTATGTAATAAATGTTATGATATGACACAATTTATTGGTTGTTGTCCTTTTATTAACCTCGGTTCTGCACCTTGTGACACGTCGTTAACCACTTGAGCTACTTCATCATAATCTGGTAAAGCCATTGTTTGCAGTTTCGAATATATTAGTGTATTGTTCACTTGCACTTCAAACGACCCTGGAAAAACACAAGTACCTATTTATACCGAAAGAAATCTATTTTATTTCATATTAATTTAATGACAATATCAAGTTGTTAACCTTTTGACATGCCAAATTATTTAGAACACCTTGAATTTTTAATACATGTATAAAGTGTGGATAAGGGGATTTTAAAATATTGACTTTCATTTTTTTTTATTTTAAAATATTTTTAATAAATGTATTTTTTATCAAATTAGCCATATAACAATACAAAACAATAACCAGTCGTTTATAATGCTACTTATACATAATCTCAGTACTGATTACTAAAAAAAACCTACCTCAAAATTCATTCATCCCCTAGTTTGCCACCTCTTTCCAACAAAAAAAGAATCATAATTGATTCCCAAATGTCGCCGGAGTTATCGCGTAACATACATACAAAAAAATATACAGTCGAATTGAGAACCTCCTCCTCTTTTGAAGTCGGTTAAAAGTCGATAGTTGGCACCAATAGGTACAATAAAAATGTTCCGTGTCAAGATCGCCTAAAATCACTGTTTAATTTTCGTAATTTTAGCAGATAAATTTATTATTGTTACTTATAGCCACTATTAATAATTTTGTTCCCTAATAGTGGTGCTTTTCAGATATTGTAAGTATGTTGCATTGTATAGGTATGACTAAGTTTCTAACCACGGTACCTATGTGTTTTTATTTTTCGCTTTAAACACAAAGAGGTGTCTTAATTAATAATTAATTATTAATATTAATAATTACTTTTTCGTTTCTACACACTACAGCCATCAAAGCTTATCGTGGAAATAAGTTATACGATTTGCACACATATAAATTTTATTTGCATTAATGTCATCAGTTATTACAGCAAAAATTTATTCGTGAATTGAATAATTAATAATTAGTAAGTAACTTACCTTGACGTCCCCTTTGACAATTTACTAGAGCATTGGGAGTACTTTCTAGTATAGCCTTAGCCAGAGCTAAACAATGTCCTCCATAATCACAGGTTCCACTGGTATCAAAAATAGTATTATAAATAAATAGTACCTATTATAAAAACTAATAAATAAACAAAACATTCAACTAAGCAGAAAATCTATGTATTCAATAAACTTGCCAATATTCTACTTGCACTTTAGGAATTTCTTTTGCAGTTGCAGCTTTCTCTTTAGGTTCTGTCATTTTTATTTAGTTTTATTCATATCAAAGCAATTAAACAAACATTTCATTACATAATACTAGACGTTTAGAGAATTACTTTAATTTAGAAATTGATGACATTTGGAGATTTGTTTTAACTAATACGTACACACTAATTATTATCATCATATCAATATAATATCCTCATCTCAAATATACTATCACAGATAACTGTATACTATTTGCAACAATAATTTGATAATTTGATACATGTGAGTGACAATGACATTACAACATACATTTGAAGTAATAGAGTAGTGCAATAATATCATATCGCTTTCGAGTCTGTATAAAATGGAAACATCGATAGATCACTGACGTGACTTACTCAAATGATTTGGCATCCCATCCCCATAGACGTCAAACCTTTATAAATCCGTCAAACCGGAACCGGTCAAATCACCACAGTCGAAAACAGAATTCCACTCAAAATGGTTTAAATCGATAAACACAACACGAGAAGCTTGAGGAAATGTGTTAATTCCGGAGTAAAGACACTACTGCTTTACGTTTTAAATAGTGTAAAGACTACAGAATCCCCATGAGCCCTAGTACAACAGAATATTGTCTGAAATACTTCGAAAGTTCGTATGAATATGGATTACGATTATTTGATAAAACTTCTGTGCGTCGGGGACTCGGGTGTTGGAAAAACTAGTTTTCTTTACAAATACACTGATGGCGTTTTTCACACTCAGTTTATCTCCACCGTAGGAATTGATTTTAGAGAAAAAACTGTGGTGAGTATTCAAAGTACTTATTAATTACAAAATCTAATCTTTTTGTAGGCGGTAAAAAAGTGACTTTATATTCGAAATAAGTAATTTAAAAATTAATTTCAATTATTTTTATTAATTAATCTTTCAGATTTATCAGCAGAATGGCAGACATCACAGAATACACCTTCAGTTATGGGACACAGCTGGCCAAGAAAGGTATAATAATAATAAAATAGTTTTTAACTACACAGCCAATAGGCTCAATTAAAAAAATAATCAGTTTTTGGTACAAAACAAAAACCGATAAATCTGATAAATTTCAATTTTAATTTACGTTTAGTCTCATTGAACAGATTTGTCGCATTATGTTCAGATCTGCACATTTAAAACGTTTTTTTAATAAGCATTTAGTAGTTACTCTTCAGGCTGAATAAATTATAAAATACATACTAAAATGACTACATTAAAAAGAAGAACAAGTCAATATGTGACTTAATCACTTTTTGTTCTGATGCGCCTCAGATACCCTCTCAACTCAAATTAATGCAGCAAGTGACACAAGCGCCAAATTAAAAACTTGGGTTGTATATTCATAACATATTTTAATCTTGTGAACAAGTCTGACATTGTGATATTGGATTAGCCATACTTAAGTGTACTGTTAAAGCCAAAACTAAAACAATTCCAGAAGTATCTCAATCTGGCGCACAAGATCACCATAACACAAAATAGGATCTTTAGTTTCAAGTTAATATTTAGAGTGCAACATACTCTTTCTTTCGGTCTTGTGCCAGTTCCAACCATTTGGGTATATTCAGCTCCTTTAAGTCTTTGGTGATAGCATCCTTGTAGCCAATATTTCGGATGATCCATTCGAGGATGACCTGTATGTTGCCTCGAATAAGCTTTTTTGGCAGCTTGATCCTTTCCCATTCTATCCACATGCCCTAACCAGCAATATCGTGTGGATTTTATTTCCCCGATTAGGTTCGGCTTGGACACTAACTCTTCTATCTTTCTATGAAATCTGGCCCAAATTCTTCTTTGATTGGTTCCAGAATCTTTAGGGAACATATATCTACCTTACGCTAAAAATTTGATGGTGTTATATTATTTTATCTACACACATATCATGAACTCCCTATAATGTGTTCAAAAGCCGCAAATTATGACCAGCATAAAGGTAAACTGTTTTGTTAGAACAATTTTTTTATCTGAAAATGTTATTATTGCTTCATAACAACATCAAATTCGATGTTTTAATTACATTCAAATTTCGAACAACTCTGAAAAACAAAACAATTTGATTGGACCTCAATTCTAATATCAGTCGAGATGAAGTTTTATTCAAAACGAAATGTCAATAGCAAACAATTTTGACAATTTCACACGTTATTTGATATCGAACGACATGCTAGTTGGGGCTGATTATAGTTTGTCTATGAATTAAAAATAAAAAGTATGGTTGTGTGACATGCATGAGAAAAGTTTTTATTTGCCGCCGTTTCGCCAGTCGTAACATGCAGTTCCCGGATTAATCACAGAGAGCTTAGATATATGGGTGTAGATAAAGCAGTGTATGTAACTGTACATAATTAGGCATTAAAACACTTGTGCGATGTTTTTATGAAACTTACCTGCCGGCTCATTTCTTCAACCCTCACTCGTATTTTAATGCCTTTCATTATGTAACAGACACATAAACTACTATAGATCACAAAGTAGAATGCAAAATTATGACTCAAGTTATGGTAATAACTTGTTGTTAAAATTGAAACACAATTGTATTCCAGATTTAGGAGTTTAACAACAGCATTCTACAGAGATGCAATGGGCTTCCTTCTGCTGTTTGATCTGACCAATGAAGCTTCATTCCTTGAAGTCAGGAACTGGATAGAGCAGTTAAAGGTATTTTAATATTTTAATAATTACTGTGTATTTAGATATCAACGAGCTGTGGTAGGGTACTCTGTGCAAGTACCACCCAAAATATTAAGAGTATTCCCTGCTCAATTCCATTGACATCAGGCTGCAAAGAAAACTCAAATTGTACTAAACCATTGATAATGTTAACTAGGTATAAAAACGAAACATTCAAAAGGTTTTATATTATATGTAATATAATAAATATTATAATATGTAACTCAATATTAATTTTTAATTTCAGACCCATAGCCTAAGTGACGATCCAGACATAGTGCTCTGTGGTCACAAATGTGACTTGCAGGAGAAACGACTAGTTAACCAGAACCGAGCACGAGAATTCGCTAAGAACTACAATCTTCCATACTTGGAAACCAGTGCCAAAACGGGACAAAACACTGACCGGGCTATTGAGTTACTGCTTGACAAAGTTATGTACAGGTAAATCTTTTTTGTGTTTTACTTTGTATTTGGTACAGTCGCAACTCCAAAATCCACAACTATCTGGAAATACCAACAATTCTAGAAGAAGCTAAATACTATTCAGTTTGCTGCAGGCATTGACTAGATGCTCATTCTACCCCATTCATTGTCCCACATATCATTGCTGCCAAACCGAATTACGAGACTGAATAAAGCCGACATGCTGTGTAATTAAGGGGAGCTTAGGCAATGGCCCTAATCTTCTGGAAAGCCCTGTAACTTCCAACTCATCTGATCATGGTCTGGTCGACTGACTGTAGATTTTCAGGGAAAGAAAAAACTTTGCAAGGTCACACTCAACAACTTTAATAATAGTGTTGTAAGACATACATAATAATATATACATTAATATTAATGTCACATACATATTTCATTTCTCAAAAAGAATGTCATTGCATTTAGAGAAAATGAAATTCTACAATTTTGTTACATGCTAAGCCTGGCCCCCTAAGGTATATTTATTTGTAATAGATACCTGTACTGCATTGGCCTGAAAAGCTACCCATACAGTAATAATAATAAATTTTGAAGTCTCTAAGCTATATTTAAATAAATGCAAATTAGTTTATTAAACATTAATTTTCATGTTAGACTTTGTTTACCTCAAATTTCGCGTGGGCCTCTTTAAATTCTATTTTTAATTGTTTTAATGGCCCTTGGCCAGGTTGTTACCCACTTCTTTCCTTATTTTATTTCTTGCTTACTTATTCCTTTTCTTACTTCTTGTGTAATGGATTGTTATTATTTTAATCTATTTATTTATTGTTAAGGTCATTTCGTGATAATTACTTTTTGTGCTATATATTCTAGAATGGAGCATTCAGTGGACTATGCAATGCAGTGCGCCACTGGTCGTCGTCGACAATCCCTTCAGAGGCTGCAAGCAAAGCAGGAAAGAAACATGTGTTCTTGTTAACGTGTTTATACAGCAGATTTCTTAACAGTTATGTAAGTTTGGATCTGTTGCATTTATTATTAATCTAGTCAATGGCATCAATTGTTGTTACTTTTTGGATGCTTTGGGTTACCTTTGATTTTTAATGAGTATTACTGATTAGTAATGGATTTGTTTAGTATTGTTTACCTACTGTAGTACTAGAAACACATTCTTATGTTTGTTTAATGCTGTCCTCTACGAGTCAATATTAAATTTTAATTATTTATTACACATCAACATTATAAGTAACTTGAATGAACATCCAAAGAATAATATTGCAATTATATTATACTCTTGGCCTTTTATTAAGCCACAATGTAGCTAATGTGCGGATAAATACCTTTAAACTCCTAAGACCCAGTAAGCATAAAAATAATAGCATAAAGGGAAAAGCACTAAGGGCCGTATTCTAGAACTCTACTCAATGCTCAAGTCAGGATTTGAGTATGGTTTAAAGCACTCGAAATCATACTCAAGTCCCTGCCATTAGGGTCGTATTTCCAGTACTTGTGTTTCCAGTGCAATCCTGACTTGAGCATTGAGTAGAGTTCTAGAATACGACCTTAAGTGCCCTATGTAAATTAAAATGTACTAAATATAGCAAGTGTAGCCCTCAGTTTTGTGTGAAAAATGCTACCAAGGTTTTTTTAATCTAATTTTCTGGTCATATAGTATAGTGCTAAATTTTAATGCGATATTTTCATTACAATGTACACTGGGCGTTTGCGTGATCACAGCAATAATATTGTCATGGTCTGGATCATTTCGCATTTTATGTATATTTTGATGTACACACGCCAGCACATCAAGCTACACATTGACGTATCTTGTTCCGTTGCACTGGAGGCGATTTTCGAACAAAAATGTGTAGTCTGATGTGCCGTTGTCCGTACAAGGGGCCGTAGGAAATTATACTATGATTTGGAAAAACCGTATAGACAGTTTTAGAGAAGTATTA